TTTCTTAACCTATTAATGTTGCTGAGTCCTAAGATATCCTTCTGCAATCACTGCGTCAGGCTGAAATTTCTCTTTGAACTGATATAGTGAAGTTGGGACAGGCACCCAGTGTCCCCCAGGCAGAAGGGCTTAGATAGCAGCATAAAAGCTTTTAGTTGCAAAGCCTTCTCATAACCAGGCTCGCCTTAACAATACTCCTTTGTCCCCCCTCAGACGACTAAGCTCCTTGTATCCTGGCAAAGGGAGGCACGGAGGGGAGGTGACTATCTTGGAGTTTGGTTTCTAATCTCCAGGGCAGAAATTCTTTCAAATTTGCCCAGCACCTGGGCTGACTGCTGAGTGGGAAATGAGAGCAGCTGCGGATGGGGCTGGCTCTCCCCATGATTCCCAAGTTTCATAATCAACTCTAGCCCTCCCCAAATTTACAACCTTCACAGTTAAACTCACACTTACAGCTGTGAAGTAGTGTAGTTCCAATGTATGTTCATATTTTCACTTTGATTTCTTTTAGCATTGGCCTCCCCCCCCCCTTAATTTACTGCTAGTCTCATGAACCTGCACTCATTTTCCAGGCTACCTTACTGCACACATGTTAATGTCATAATGCTTTATGGGTGAATTCATATTATCACAGAATGGTGAGTTCCTCATTTTCAGGCTCGAGGCGTTCATGAATACTGCATAGTTCTTATCCACTGCATTTTCTTTTTGATGACTGAAAAAAAGAGAGAGGACATGACTTTTAAATATCCCTAAAGTAGGAACAGACATTATTTTGAGAGCTCTGTGAAAGTACGCACCCCTTTCCCACATGGACATGTTGGGTAGCAAACCTTCTGATAAAACTGCAGTCAACTTGACCATTTCCCTGGGGCCTGATGCCTCTTCCCCCTCCACTGGTACCACTTTCCACTCCTCAGAGGCATTTAATAAACATTCAAGGACATCCTTAATAACCTATTGCACCTGCTTCCCTATCACTGTTCATCCATCCCTGAGCACAGCTCGCAGCTGTGCAAAGTCCCTAAAACGTTGGCCTGTCTCTAGCTCTATACTCAACCCAGCACGAGCAGTGATTTTCATCAACAGTCTAGACCTTCCTGTCCCAGTACTTTTCAGAGCTTCCTGTTACTTTCCGAAGGCTTCTGTGCTTCCCCCTTCACCTTTTCTCATAGCTGAGAACTTTACGGGGCCCCGAGTCAGGTGTACATTTCCTGTGCTCCTTGCTTCCCCCATACCACGGACATTCCCTTTTCCGGGGATGCCTAGCAACCTCTCCTTTCCTTTGGGTAACGGCAACAGCACTTTGATTTCTCTGTCTTACCTCTCAGTTGTGATGTGGGGTGCTGATAGAGCTTACATCCGGGTATCCTGCTGGCCCTTCCCTGGCCAAGATGCGGATGCATGACTGAACTTAGGCAAATTTGATTCTTACACTTGAGCAGAAGTGATAAAAAGATTGAAGCCCCTTTGTTCTGGCAGCAAGGCCCTGAGGAGGCTCTCAGTTACTTCCCATTCCCTGGACTCCCACAGCTGTCCTGGTCCTAGCCTTTTCAAGTCTGTTCTGCCCGCATTCCCTCCAAATCTGTGAGCCACCTGGTCATAGCCTGGCAATAAATTCCTTTTAGACTTAAGATAGCTAAAGTCAGTTTCTGTTGCTTGCAGCCAAAGAATCCTAAATGGTGCAGGTTCAGACTCCTCAGCCTCTTGATGCCTCTTTCCTTCCTATTTCAAGAAAAGGTTTTTACAAAGAGATTCCTCCCCCCCCCCCCACCCATTTTCAAACTCCAGCAGATTACCTTGACCTCCTCTCTTACTGCCAAGACCATGCCCATATCTTCTGGAAGACAAGAACTTTTCTGCCCTTCCACTAAGCACACCATCTATAAAGCAGAAGCACTTGTCCACCATAAGTAATTTTCATGATGACTTTCAAGGGAAAGTTTCTTTTCTTTCTGTTTCAAAGGGAACAGAAATATTTCTGTATGCCTCTTCTGGAGGACTGGTTCCCTGGGGGTTCCCCCAGTTCTTTCTCACCCAACTTATTTTCCTGTTAAGCCGGTCCAAATAATTCCAAGCTCAAGATTGCCTTTGACTTCAATGCTTCCTCGGCCCCTACCTCACTCCTCTCTTTCTTATCACAGCATCTGGGACAGACTATACATAGTTCTCTCTCGGCCTCCAACTTCCATGCTCCAGCTCCCTCCTTCCTGGTCCTTCCTGCTCTGGCTGCTGGCCCAGTCCCTCCACTGAAATCACCCTCTGGAGCAACATCTCTCCTGACTTGTAGTCAGAGGGCAACCCCCAAAGAACCAGTCCTCTCTAACGAGCATACAGAAGTGTTTTTCTGGTGCCCCTTGAAAGTCATTGAGAAAACTACTTATGGTGGACAAGAGCTACAGCTTTTATGGAAGGTTTGCTTTGTAGAAGGGCAGAAAAGTTCTGCCTGTCTTTCAGAAAATATGGTTAAGAACCTAACATATTCAAGGCACTTTAGAAACACAAAGACACTTGAAAGACTGTCTTTTTCCCTGCCTAGTGGTAGAACAGAAAGAAGATGGTGAAGAGAAAGACCATTAGTTGCCTGTGGTGGCAGGGAATTCAAACTACGTATGTGTTCCTGGCACTGTGCTATGGTCCTAACACGCATCATTTCGTTTGTGCTTGCAACCGCCATGGGGTTGAGTTTTATCGCCATTTCCATTTTGCAGATGAGGAAATAGGCTCAGAAAGCTTAAATAAACGGCCTTAAGACATCTGGCTGGGATGTGGGGTCTGAACTCAGATCCAAGTTGCTCTGATAAGACAAGAAGTCAAAGGGCTGGCATCCTTTGGCGCGTGTTAGTGCGGTGGGGCTTGCTTTGCCCCATGGCCCTCCACCTTGAATCTATATTTGAATCATTGGAACCACTATCATGGTGCCTACCTTCACCCAGGGCCACCCCGCCCCAACCCATTCCCAGAACACCGCATGCTTGTCTCAGCATTCTTTGGGTGAAAAGCCAGGGGACTCACTTGCTGCTACAGATGCTATTTTTAGGTCTGCTTCTGCAACAGACAGCTCTGTCCTGTACACACCTGATCTTATTTGAAATCTTCTAGGTGCAGATGGAAAGGACCTTGGATGGGGTGCCAGAAGACCTAAGTTTGAACTGCATTCTGCCTTTACTAGCAATATAACCTTGACCATATATAATCTCTCTGAGCCTTGATTTCCTCGTTTATAGAATGGGGATTAAAAACAGCTGCCTTACCCAAAGAGAGAAGATATGTCCATTGTAAGGCATTATATAAATTTTTATTAGGAAGAAATGATTCCTAATTTGGGAATGAGGAAGACCCAGATGATGGAGTTAAGTCCATAGGAGAGCTGGTTACAGGAGAGAGTGACTGATGCCAACTCTTGTGCCTTAGTTCCCAACTCTTCCTTCTTCAGATTCTGTAACTGGCACCTTGGCTTCTATATACTATGGCTTCTATACTAAAATTATAGAGGAAAACATTTTCTTTGACCTCAAAGTTTATTTTTTGCCTCTGATTTCAAAAGAAATTCAAACATTTTTGCTGGCCCCCAAAATATTGTGGGTGCTAGGCACTGCAAAGTCCCTAATGGATAAGTCATCCCAAATTCAGATCTTCTGCCTTAACAGACCGCTGTGCTTTCCTCTGAGCAATGCTGCCTCCCCCAGCCAGAAGGGAGTAGGATCAGCGGCCAGCCACAGATTGAGAACCAGAGCAGAACTGGTCCTCCGAGGCAAGGGGGCGCCAGGGAGGTCCCTCTGCAGCAGGTGGGCTTTGCTGCCAGACTTACTGAAGCCTCTTCTTGCCAAGGTGTTTCTGGGAGGGGGCTGTCTCCTGCCTCTCTGACAGTGTTCTAGGACAGCCCACATGCTTCACTGTAGCTCTGGTCGCTTCTCCCCATCCCTGCTTTACCCCCAGCAGAAAACACTTTCCTGTTATTGAAGGCCTACTGTACTGAGGACTCTACATACATTGCTATTGGGTCATCACAATATACTTATGAAATAGGCGAGATTATCTCCATCTTAGAGGAGGAAACTAACTCAGAGAAGCCAAGAGCTCTTGTCACTGGCACCGCATGGCTGTGCACTTCCTCTGTGGGTTTGAGAAACCCAAGACTTAGGATCAGATTAGGTTCGGACTGGAGGACAGCAGCTCAGCTTCTCATCCAGAGTGGGGCAAGGCCAGCTGGATGAACCTCAGGTTCCTTTTCTTAGAAGACTCTGTGCTGCCTTGGACCTCTGAGAGCTCTCTGTCACTGTGGCATGTGACAAAAAGGGGGTGAGGGCTAGGAGGGAAGCAGCCATCAGACCTCACAGATCAGGCCTTGGCACACATATGGTCTGTGTGAGAATTAGAAAAGAGCACCCCCCTGGACGGATTATTTACAAAAAGATACCTTCAGGGGGCATTAGAAGTTGTAAAAATGTCCTTCCCTCTGGGCTGCAGAGCCCAGGGCCAAACCCAGGCTTGGTGTAGGGATTGGGGTTGCATTGCCTTCCTACTCCCAGCGCAGCCTTTCTGCAGGACCCAGGACCCGCCTGAGGGGCCTGTCTCAAGGCAGGGCCCTCTGCCACTGATTTCCCACAGTTCCACATACCAAAATCTCCAGGTTTTCTAGATGACATCCATTATTATTCCACCTTCCAATAGAAGAATCGAGATTGACTTCAGAAGGAAAATCTTATGTTTAATCTTTGTGGTATAAACCAAACTGTGGGCCTTGGACGTTCAGGCTCTGCCTTAGGTAGATTCCGTAACTTCCACAGGGCTCAGTTCTTCCATCTTGAAATGGGGATAATAAAACTCATCTTGCAGGCCCGTTTCAATGAATGGACGGCACGGAACATTATGCTGGCATATAGTGGGTCTGCAATACCATGTTGACCGTGGCCCTCAGGTAGCTGGGACCTACAGGATACCCACAGTGGACATTGTACACGCAGTCCACACAACTCCTACAAGCTGGGAGCTGAGGGGTCCCGGCTGGTCCTCTCCTCGGGGCTCCTGCAGACACCTCAAACGCAGGCGCGGTGGCAGAAGCTGGGAGGGCCGAAGAGCTCTGCACTGCAGCCACCTGCGCCGCGGCCCGGACCGAGGGCGCGCTTCCAGGCGCCCGGGGCGCCGCCGACTCACGGCGGCGCGAGGCGGTGCGGTCGGCCGGGCAGCGGACCCGGCGGGGGAGCGGGGGAGCGGGCGAGCAAGGAGTTAAGCGGCGCCGGAGGCAGAGTGCTTGTCAGACGCGAGCATGTGCAGTTTGCACCGCATCCGTACTATGGGTGAGTGCCGCCGCCGCCGCCGCCGCCGCCGCCGGCTCCGTTCTGCCCGGGCAGCGGCGACAACAGCCCCCCGACCTCCGCACCGCCGCGGCGGCGGCCGACACACAATGCGGGACTAGGCGCCGCGCGGGAGGACCGGCGGCGTGGGGGAGGCAGGGCCGGCAACTCGGCGCGGGGGGAGCCCGAGCGCCGGGCTTGGGGGCGGGGAGCAGGCGGCGCAGGAGAGCGCCCCGAGCACCGGCGCGGGAGGAGGAGCGGGAGCGAGCAGGGGAGACAGCGCTCCCGGCCGCACCTGCGCCCGGCAGGCGGCCGGCCCTGCCCTGCCCCTGCTCGCGGCCCCGGCCCCGGCCCCGCACCGGTAGGTGCCCCCGATGCCCGCAGAGAGGCCTCTCCGCCGCCGGGAGAGGTGGCCGCGCGGGGCGGGCAGCGCCGAGTGCGGGGGGGCGCGGGCGATGGTGCGGTGATGGGGAAGACCAGGCGACCGGGCTGGGGGCGCTGCCGGATCCCGCTTCCTCTTTGCTTTCGGTTTCGAAGCGGTGCCCCGGCTCGAGAGCGAGCCGCTAATTAGATGGTGCGCCCAGGCTTGGATTCCCTGAGGGGGATGGGCGCACAGGGGGGCGTGTTGGGGAAGGGGGTGCACGCTGGCAACTTTCACCGCCTGAAACAAAGGGGGCTTGGGGAGATGCGAGGGGAAGGGGTCAGCCGGGGATCTCCGGCAGCGGAAGGTTGACATCCCCTCTTCCTCCGGGCGGAGAGCATCCCCTAGGCCGCCTCAGGGGAGCGGAGGGGGCGTCAGGCTGGGTGGAAGCTAGAGAGGCTTGGGAGTGGGAACCACGGACCCTCCTGAGTTTGAGGCTGAGGACTTTTCTGAAGGGGAGGGAACCGTGCCAAGATGAACCCTCTCTCCAGGGTGCATAGAAAAACTAGGTGATGGTGGACTGCACACCTAGGCGTCCTCCCCTTCCCAGCCCCCTGGCTGCCAGCTCTCCATCTGCCCACCCTGATCTCCGGTCCTCTGTGGGAGATGCGGGGCTGGGATGGGGACCATTACAGCAAGGGGAAGGCGATATTGGCCTCTTTCCCAGGTGTCTTCCTTTCCCTCTTCCTGTGCCCAGTCAGAAACTGATCCCCTTCCCTTCCTGCCCTGGACTATGTCTCCCTCTTTCTCCACAGTTTCCTTGGGGGGTATGTTTGTTTGTTTGCCTCAGGTACAGAGCTTAGGGTGGCAGGTTGTTCTGACGCCACTTCGAGCCCTCCCAGGAGGAAAAGAGCAGGACCCTGGGGAGCTGTGCCAGCATAACCTTGGGGGCTCAGCTCACCAATTCTCCTGCGTTCTCAGCACCCAGTAGCAAAGGAGCTGTTATTCTGGCCTTCAGACTTGGGTCATCAGGGGGCCTGGGTTTTTCTCTTTGCTGTAACCAGGAAGAGGGGTCAAGGGGAGGGCTGAAGAGCCTTCCCGGGGCAGGGATGGGGGATACAGTGTCTTTCTCTCTAGAAAACAAATGGGCCAGTTTCCAGGTCCCCAGTCCCCGACCTTGTGTCTCCAAGAACAAGGTGCCTCCAGCTCTGATCTGGCTTGCATGTGACCACCGGCTTCCATCCTGTGGCAGGACTGCCCATTGCCTTTCTTCCTCTTAGAAAAGACAGCCCTCTGAGAGTCGGATTTTCCCCCTGGTTGCAAGGCAGTGCTACATCTGCTTGCCTGTGGAGACAGAAGGCACTGAATTGTGTGTGTGTGGGGGGGTTTGAACTGCTGGGTGACTCTCCTGTCTGCTCCTGTGACTGAACTAATGCTGTGAGTGGTTGGGCCAGAGGTGGGCCTCCCAGGACACCCTAGAGGAATGGAGGGGTGGGCTGAGATGAGGCTTGGCCTTTCTCCCCTAGGCTTTATATTTGGGGACAGAGTTGAGTAACTGGGGAGACAGTAGAGAGTGGGCCAACTTATTTATCTCATCCTTGGAGGGAAATTACAAGCTGATTTAGTGTTGACTTTGGTCACTTAAAGGTACAGGAGGGAGGGAGCAGTAAAGGATAGCAGGAAAAAATGAAGTCCCCTGAGCTATAGCTCTATATGGCCCTGGACCTTGTGGCTGAAGTCAGATGCAGGTGCTAGACTGGAGAGCACCACCCACCCCACTTCTAGGGCCCTTTCCCCTCTAAATGGGCAGGGTTGATTATGGCTCAGTTCCCCTTTGGGTTAATCCCCAAGCTATTCTGAGCTGAGGATAATGGTATAGAGGCCTGACCTCCCCACCTCCAGTGGTGAGAGAGGGGCTTTTCCATGGACTGTTACTCAAATGTACTGACCATAGATGGGAAAATGATACTCCCTCCGACTCCCCCTTTTAAAGTGATGAGGCATGAGTTTTTACATTTATAAAGTGACTTAAGTGCCCTGGGTTCTTGAATGAAAGATGTTAAATGAGTTAGGGAGCCTTATACTGTGTTTAATTTCACTTGTATCAGATTCACATACTGTTTCTAAAGGGAAAGGTGTCATTTTGCAGGAAAGGGCTACATTACAGCATTTGTGATAGGGAAAGCTCAGTGTTGGTTTTAAAAGTGTAAGTTTTTAATCAGAAAGGCGCTTGCGGGCAGCAAGTGCTTTTCTGTCTGCCTCTGCTCTCTGGATACCTTCAGGTTACTTCCTAGTAGGGTTTTTTCTGGTAGATGGTGTCCAGCCTGGATGTCGGTGACAGTCACCCTCCAAGCTCTCAGAAGGGTCTCTGATGATGTTGGGGACGCTGATGTTATAAATTGAGACCTGGGTAAGGGCAGTAAAGTGAAGCCGCTTGACCTTAGCAGCAGCCGTATCAGATCTGGCTGTCCTTGAGGGAAGGGAAATCTAACCCTGGCACAGCCTGACTGTTTTCAAATTTGTATCTCTTTACTTTCCTCCGCATTCCTCCCCGACCCCCAATTTACAGACAAGGTGGTTTGGGTTATTTTTTTATTTTTACTTTTTGTTCCAGAAACATTCCTTTTAAGGTGTGGATAATTTCTGACTTGTCAAACTCTCAGCTCCCTTTGTGGCAACACCTGGCTAAGGAGGGAATGTCGGAAGGGATACTGATGCTCTGAGCAAGAAGAAACTCAGCCTTACTGACCAGGTGTTCTGCTTCCTCCACCACCACCTCTCAGAAGTCAGAGGCTTTGTATTTGAAAAGTAAAGTCTAAGCTGATTTCTGGGGAAGGGCTGGGAGGTGGTACTTTTGACCATTGCTTCCATGGAGGGAAACTGAGTCACACTAAGAGTTAGCGCACTGGCTGTGGTGTGTGTGAATGTCTGTGTTGGGGAAGTTTTCCTTTCCTGGGATTTAAGAATGTTTACCGTTAAGTACCGGAGGAGATCCACTGGTTACACTTTTCCATCATGAGATAAAGATGCACTGATAGAATTTAGGTACCTATGTGTTTGATTTCAAATGTACATTTGCCTCAGACTTTGAGCTGTGGGATGTGTCATGCTGCTGTGATTCAAGGAAAAGGAAGGGATTTTCACCCCTGCAACTCACAGCCATAGATAGAACTGAGGCTGAATAAGGAATCTATCCCATTCTCTGTCCCATTCCCAGATGAAAAAGAGAAGCTGCTCCCTTCCCTTTGCTCACATCCATCCTGCAGGTGTGAACTCCCACTCTGCTTCGCCCTAAGGCTATCCTCAATGTTCATTTTAACATCAGTTCCTTTATGTATAGATCTGGTGGGGTCGAGGTCACAGAGTGAGTGCCATTGGCCCCCTGGTCCCTTAGAGGATGGTTCTGAAAGGTAACTTTCCACCCTCCCCGGATGTTGGTGCTTCTGCCTTTGGGGTCGGTCACCATCAAGTCTGGCAACTCGAGGAGTAACCAAAGTCATTGCCAATTCCTGTTTCTGAACATCCAGCTCCCCATTGTTCTTTACTCTGCTTGCTCCCCAACAGGGAGTTTGATACCCTTTGAGGGCTCTTGGCTCTCAGTGTGGCTGGTATTATAGAGGGACAGCATCCTTGGAATTAGGGCAGACAGTCTACATGGGCAGGACTTGGGTCCTCAGATTGCTCCTTTTTGCTGCTCACTCTGGAAGCATGGCAGTTAAAACAAAGTAAGACTTGCATTGTTAAATCCTAACTTACCATAGGGAGATCTAATAAATCGGGGGCGTAATTGGAGAGGGCTCTTTCTGCCATTCCTTTCCACGTCAGAAGCCCTGCATTCAGGACACACTGGATTAGCCATTTCTGACTGCTTTCGTAGTTGGACTTGAATGACGAAGGCCTTCTAGCTGGTTCATTCATTTGTTGTTTCCTTTCAATTTTTTTTTTTTTTTTTTTTTTGCGGTACGCGGGCCTCTCACTGCTGTGGCCTCTCCCATTGCGGAGCACAGGCTCCGGACGCGTAGGCTCAGCGGCCATGGCTCACGGGCCCAGCCGCTCCGCGGCATGTGGGATCTTCCCGGACCAGGGCACGAACCCGTGTCCCCTGCATCAGCAGGCGGACTCTCAGCCACTGCGCCACCAGGGAAGCCCACCTTTCAGTTTTTAAGAGGCACTCCTGTCACGTGAGTTTCTGGAATGGTCCGTTTTCATCAGAAAGGTCACTTACCCTGAGTTTTCCTAAGGCCTTGACACCAGCCCCGAGCTAGGGATGCCAGCCAAGAAGGAGATTAAAGGGCCACAAAGAGAGGATTCTTTTCTGGAGTTCTGGAGTTCTTTGGAGCAACGTTGGGGACCACTGCCAGCCCCCATCTTCTTTTCCATAGCTATCCTTGGCCAGACTCCATTTAGTCTTCAGTCCCTAGGACCCACACCCCGCCTCATTCCCGATCAAAAAAGCCTTTCTAAAGCCAGGAATAAGGCAGCCAGGTCGGTGGTCTTACTTTCATCTACCTTCTGAAAGCAAATATGGACGAGAAATATTGTCACCAGTGGGAAACAGAAGCAACGGCTCCAGACTTTCATTTTGTAATTGTGTTTTTGCCTGCCACAAACAAGGAGATGACCTTCCTATGCTGATCTGTAG